TACTTCATCTTCTCATCAAATCTTCTGACCAATCAAATGCTCTCTCGAAGCCGAAGCGCCCGCCCCCTACACTATAAATAGACGCTGAAGCTGCGGCTGAGATCGGTCGCTTGTTCACAGTGTAGTATTTCCTGTACAGTGAATGGCACGTAGTGTACAATGTAGGCGATAGGGACCGATTCAGACAGTGTAAATATGCTTTCGATTGGGGCAAATGAGGTCTGGTTTCACGTTGTGTCACGTGAACTGCGGCAGCGCGCACAGTCTGATCCGGACTTTGGCCCCGGTCCAGAGATGCGATCGCACTTAGCGGGTCATATGCGTGAGTCGGCATATATTAAACACTTTTAAAACTACACAGCCTCAGCATGATTATGATCACTATTTTGTTTTACTAAGAGTTTCATATTGAATATAGGGGGTAATCTATTAGACTGTGGCTGTCAAATGCGGCCTTACCGAGCTCAACGGCTCTGACCCGTGCAGATATAAACAAAACGCTATTGGCTAATTTAAAAAGGGGGGGGGGCTGCTCGATATGTCCCGCCCTGTCTTCCTGTTTCAGTTGAAATTACATGTTTCAAGGCACTTCAGTGGACCTTTAAACATTAAGATTTGCACTTAATATTGCACAGAACATTTACTTTGAGGAAACGGATTAGAAAGAAAACCTGTTCAAAGTTTACATAAAACATAAAAATGAAATACTCAGCGTTAATTTGGTAATTATGGTCAATGTTGTCTGGATTTTTTATGTGTTGATTCAACGTTTGAGTGATGTTGTGCATGAATCAGAGTAGGAAATTGCTTGCTTAGATGCTTTTCTCCAATAAGAGTACAATCGACTTTTTTTTTTTTTTTTAAAGTAATAACTTCAAGCATGCCTTACTTTATCCATTGTTCCACAATTTTTGTTCTTAACTGCCTTTAACGACTGAATTTTCAACCATCTCAGCAGTTGTTTAAAACAAACCCCATCGACTTGTAAAACATGGGCAGAAATGATGAAGCCATCATTGTTACAGAATCTTTCACGACAACCGCATTGTTAAACTCCAGCTGTACTGTACATCAAGAGAAAGCGTTTGAAGTGAGGGACATTTTCTCATTATGACAAACTGGAGCTCTAGAAGAGATACTTCAACTGGACAAACAAGTCAAACAATACGTTAGCATCAGTCTTCTTGGTTTCTTCAGACTTGAATTGTGTGGTGGTGGTCCGACTCGAGGTCGAACTCCTCGTTACATCTCAGCTGCCGTGAGGGTTGAAGCCTTGAGCTTCTCTGGGTTTTGATGGGCGTCTTGCAGGATCAGGGTGGTCTGATTGGAGGCAAGGACATTTACAGCACTGATATGTTCAAATCAAAGAAGTTGAGGGAGCGATGCCATGTTATAGTGGAAGCTGTAATCATGGTAATTTGATTGGTAGATTAGTATTTACAAGTCAGGACCGGATTAAACATATGGGCTTTCAGGCACGTGCGAGGGAGATGCCAACACAATCAGGAGGAGTTTGGCAGGAGATGTGGCACAACAACCAAGACATGGCGTAGCTCATGCAATCAGATTTTAGAGCTACAACCATGTGTTTTCTATAGTGTATTTCACCACAGAGGTGACATTGGGCTTTTCGATATGTTGATTGCACCATAAACTTTATATGTATGCTACCGTTTGTGTCAAAAGTGACAGTAAGGACATTTATAATGTTACACAAGAGTTTTATTTCAAATAAATTCTGTTCTTTTGAACTTTCTGTTCATCCAAGATTCTTTGAAAAAATACTCTTTCACAATTATCAAAATAGTGCAGCTGTTTTCAACATTGATAATAAGAAATGTTTCTTGAGCAGCAAATCAGCATATTAGAATGATTTCTGAAGGATCATGTGACACTGAAGACTGGAGTAATGGTTCTGGAAAAGAATTATTTTAAATTGCAATAATATTTCACAATATTACTGTTTTTATTGCATTTTTACTGACTCCTAACTTTTGAACTGTAGTGTGATTAATGTCTGTGGAAGCCTGTTTCTGCCACGTGATAAAAAAGTAAGACAGGTAATTGTGAATTTTAACCCACAATTCAGACTTTGTTTCAAAATTGCGAGATATAAACTCAGAATTGCAAGATATAAATGCAGAATTGCGAGAAAATGTCAGAATAAAAATTTGCTATTACCTTTTTTATTTTTTATTTGGTGGTGGAAAAAAACAGAATTGTGAGATGTTGACTCAGAATTTTGATAAAAAAGTCAGAATTGCGAGAAAGTCAGAATTCTTGGTTTACGTCTCGTAATTCAGACAGTTTTTTTCTTTTATTGCAAACCTATGGAAGCCTGTTTCCACCACAGAATTAAAAAAAAATGCAATTTCTATTTTTTTTTGTCCTCACAATTCTGACTTTTTTTTATTTTTAGAATTGCAATAAACAAAGTCCGATTTGTTAGATATAAATTAAGATTAATGACTTTTTTTCTTAGAATGTGAAAAGCAAAGTCCAAATTGTGTCATATAAACTCAGAATTGCAAGCAAAAGTCCAAATTGTGAGAGAGAAATTCAGAATTACCAGAAAAAAGCCCAAATTGTAAGATATAAATTCAGATTAATTACTTATTTCTCAGAATTGCGAGAAACAAAGTTCAACTTGTGAGATATAAACTCAGAATAGCAGGAAAAACTGTTAGAATTGTGAGATATAAACTAAAAATTGTGAGGGGAAAAAAAGTCAGAATTGTTAAATAAAAGGTCCCAATTACCTTTTTCATGTTTTTTATTCTGTGGCGGAAACAAGCTTCCATAGGTTTGCAATAAAAGCTGTGTGTATACAAAATATATTGCATGTATAACCTGAAAGCACTTCAACATGTCCTTTATAGATGTATGTGTTTACAGTGCGAGTGTGTGTTGCACCGCAACAAATAGCTGTATTTGTGGAGATTCATGTTTATATGTAAGGCATGTAAGAAAGCTGTTGTGCAGCTGTGGCGGCCTTCACTCAGCCAATCAGCTCTCAGCATGAGCAGGAACATGATTAGCCCGTGATCCGTGGTGACTCAGAGCCTCTCAGACTGGTTCCTGATTTAATTAAGCATTATGTATTTCATTACGTCTGTCCTGTGTGTTTCCCAACACTGGCTGCCAGGGAATAATTTGGAGTTTGTTCTTTTGGTTGTCATTAGGCTGAGGTTGTTTTATTGACGTTCGTTCAGCTGAGATGGTTATCGAGTGAGTTTAGATTGAGCAGACTGCTTTAGGCTTCGACATAGTCAAACAGACTAGCAGCGTTTCTCAACACAACAAACTACTGCCAGATAGTCTTCTGACATCATGTGTGAGCGTACGTATGAATCTGTGTGGCTGTAATATCTTTTAACTCGCTTGTTTATCTCATTGAGCTGTGTAAGCACTGTTGGAAGTGGAGGAACAGGAAGCTGAACTGTTTTTGAGGGAATTCAGTTTCTCTACAGTCCTGAGCTTCTCGACGAGGGATTTGATCAAATAGGGAAAGGAAAGTTTGTGGCAGACGATTATGGGACTGTATTAATGAGCAAAACAGAGAGGTTTTGGTTTGTTGCTTGATCATTTCCATATTTTTTCCTTGGGTATAATGACTTGATTAAAGCTGAATTCTGTTTTGTGTGCCTCTGTTTCATTACTGGTGTTTGCTAAGACAAGTACCACTATTTCTATTTCTCATAGCTTCAATATAATCAAAATATCCCAATATACATATAAAGTACTAATTATAATTAATACTTTATATGTACATTGGGATATTTTGATTATATTGATTGCCAGATATTTGCCGCCCCGTTTTTGTTAATGAGGAAAATTAAGTCAAAATCAGGAGAACATTATGAAAAACAGTATTAATGCATGGACTCTTTGGGTTTCTGTAACAAACCAATACGCTTAACTGAAACTTTAACACTATTTTGCCTTGCAAGAAGTTCCTTTCATGAATTCCATCAGGAAATGCAACTCTACTTTAGTTTTTATCCCCCTGTCTATGACCTTTCTGCTTTCTCTCTCTCTCTCTCTCTCTCTCTCTCTCTCAGTGTCTCTCTGCTCTCTGGCTGCCTTCACAGCCTTCAGCGCTTCTGTTGTTCCAGAGATCAGAGCGGTTTGAATGAAGATGCTCAGCTTTCTAAAACCACCAGCCCCCACTCAGTGGATATATTAGATCCACAGCCGTGTCCAGTCTTGGCTCTGTGAAGTTAATTTGGAGCTGAGATAAAGAGAAAAAGTTTTGTCTGTGTAACCTGTTTGTTTCTTGGTGCAGTTATTATGCGATGCTGATGAAGACCTGATGTGTGTGCTGTATATTCCTTAGTCATGGTAGACACCATATTAAATTGGATGCAAATGAAACCGAGGCTGTAAGGGATGTAGAGTCTGTTTAATGGGTTGTAATTGTACTGTCTTTTACCCTGTACCTGCCATTCGAGTCAAATTAAATATGCCACCTACCCTGACTGACTTCTATAGTCCTCATCTCTCTACCATTACCTTTTTCTTTTATTGTCTGCAGTTTTACCTCATACCTGGCATTCCTGTTAAATTAAGTATCCCAGCATCTACCCTGACTGACTTCTATAGCCCTTGTCTCTCACTCTTCATCTTTTTCTTGTATTGTCTGCAGGCCTGCGCTCACCGCTGGAAGAATGTATACTATGAATCGGAGTATATCCTCCCTCACGGATACTGCTCCGTCATCCCAGCCACTCTGCAGGGCAAGTCACAGCCTCTCATACCATGTTATGAAGGTACGGCACGCTCTTTACAACTGTAACTCATCTCGGTTATCTTTCTTGCAGTATCATTTCAGGATTATTTATATACTATTATAGTATTTAATAATATAGTATTTTATAAATGTGTGTGTGTGTGTATATATATATATATAGAGAGAGAGAGAGAGAGAGAGAGAGAGTATTTAATTCTAGTTTGTAGTATTTAATTCTAGTCTGTGCTTTTTGTTTTTAAAAACACTTTATTTAGCTTTAATTTATAATTTTTTTTACCTTTGTACCTATATATATATATGTGTGTGTGTGTGTGTGCGTTTTTGTGACAAATGAGGACATACATTTGTATAATGACAAGGGTATGACATAGGTATTACAAGGAGAAGGTGACTTTTCAGGACATTACCCCATGTCCCCACTTTTCAAAACGCATATACATCACACAGAATGGAGTGTATTGAAAATCTGAAATAGCACAAAGTTTCCTGTGAGGGGTAGGTTTAGGGGTAGGGTTGGTGTAGGGCAATAGAATATACAGTTTGTACAGTATAAAAACCATTACGCCTATGGGATGTCCCCACAGAAACAAACCTGTGTGTGTGTATAAGTAATGTAAAGTAATTCGCTTCTCAAGTAAATGTATCTTGATTTATATTTAGATTTTTGATAAATAAGACAAAAATAAGAGTAAGAAAATAATTTTTTCCATTTTCAGTTGAAGTACAAATAAAAAATGAAATAAAAAAATAATTCAAGTGAAATATGATGTTTAAATATATATAAGTAATATAAAATAATATAAATTTTAGAATTTCAATTTCACTTAAAAACTATTTTTAATAGTTTTGGTTTTAGTTAACAAAAACATCACTATAGTCTTATAACTTACCAGTGATTTGTGTAAAATAACATTCAGTGTGCTGTATCAGTAGTTTCAATATCACTGATGGTATTTTCCTGTTATTCAGCAATGAAAGCATGTGTTAGTGGTAAATGATAAAGCAAACATCACTATTACTATTGCTAATACTTAGGGTTTGTCATTTGAGCAAACCTCTAAGCCAAAGTATTACCATAATTTAACCACAGTTCAATTAATGTAGAAGCAGGTCAACTAAAGCACAAACTCTGAAACCGCTGTTTCTCAGTGTGGTCAGAGCCGCATCCATGAGGCACCATAATGGACTAAAGTCAAGTGAACCGCATGAGAGAGATTGAAACTGATCCTACATAGTCACTCTACATGCCGGTTGAAATTGTGGTTCAGTTATGATACGGTGATTCATTACAGTGTGTATTGAATCTTTGATATGTATGACTGTGTAATGATAATCAGCCCTATTGTTAGAGAATTTCTGGTCTTCATCACACTAGAAGTCCAGCACACACTCCACTGAAGCAGACTACAGAAATGACGGCCAAGTCCGAGCCTTGAACCCTCTGAACAAGTTGGAAAGATGACACTGTTTACTGTGGCACATGTTCACAACGGGCTTCACAATGAGTTATGGCACCCTGAGCTTCCTCCAAAACCTCAGACTGATGTTTTCTGGCATCATAGCGCTGGCACCTTTAGAATCAGAAAGAAGCAACACACTGGAGAGAAATATGACCTGTCAGGCAGGGCGCAGCATCTGGGAGTTTGGAGGACACATTCAGGGATATGATGGCTAAATATTTGACTCTTTGCACATCAAGATAAAGGATGGTTTAGCCTTTATTCAGCAAACATTGTGAACACAGTGCATGTCCAAAAAACAAAAACATGATGTCACCATGGTATGAAATCTAAAAAAAAATAAAAAAAAATTCACAAAAAAAACCCCCTCATTGTTAAAGGAATGCTCCAGGTTCATAATTGTAAGCTTTACCTGAATTTGTCTTCCCTTACTTATTTGTTTGTTTGTTTGTTCGTTCAAGGTTCTTAATTTAATCAGCTTTACCTTAATTTGAGGCATAATATTATATACCAGAAAAAATCATTTCAACTAAATTAATTAATTAATTAATGTATTTATTTATTCATTCATTCATTCATTTCATTTATTCATTTTAGCACAATTCAGTTTTTTTTTTTTTTTTTTTTTTAATTTAACTTTTATTTTATTTTAGCAGAATTCACAGTTATTTTTAAGGCAGTTTTTCTTCATCAATATCTCCTTTCCTTGTGCATTTTCATGCAAAAGTGTTTAGCCTTTACATGTTCATGACAGGAGAAATATTGAATGCAATATTGAGTTTTCTCACACTAGCCTCATATTACAGTGTATTATATTTAAGTATTGTGGCTATACTTTCAGAATTTAGTATATTTTAGTTTTTGTCCTAGTGTAGTGCTTTACCCCACAGACTTTCCAAGTACATTATTATGAACACTTTTTTTTTTTTGCTTATTTTTACCAACTGAGAAATGAGTCAACATAATTTTCTGTGGTAATCGACAGCATGCCACAGATGCACAGAAATGAACTTGTATTGAACCCGAAAGGTTCATTTAAGGATGCCAATCAACAGCCGTCAATATCAAAACTGGCTTGCGCTCGCTGTTTATCGCTCCCCCCATCACGTATTATACTTCTGACAGATGTTATTGTAGTATATTAAATTCAACGCCTCCATCAGCATTGAATTTCATCATCCCGGTAGGATTCCTCGTATTTTACAAGATGTTTTAATTTGCTGCGGAAAGAGCAAAGGAGGGTGCATGAATTCTTGATCAGAATTTGTTACCGTGTCCAGCTCCCGAGTTATTTATTTCCTTCCATATCTTTTCCCGACTCCAGTGAGTTGCCATTGGGGGCCTTCTATGTGTGTGCAGTGCATTATGGGGGGATCCAAGCCTAATATTTTCTGTAAGCGGAGAGCACAGCGATCCCCCCGTTCTCAAAGCCCTCCTGAGCGAGAGCTGCTAGGTCGTTCTCAGTCTGTCTCTCGGCCCCCAGATTCCTCTTGGATGGAGGTGGGACTTTGACTAACTCCATATGGAATGTCGGAAGAACTCCAGTAAATGCTGGCTCAGGCTCACAGCGAAATCATTTGTGGTCTGTTGTTTTTTTCCTTCCTCTCTCTCTCTCTCTCTCTCTGTCCCCCTACTCACTCTCACAGACCATAAGAAGACCTATGGGGAAGAACATGGCTCGTGCCAAGCCGGGATCGCAGGCGTTTTCACTGAGGTCAGTAGAAGTACGAGCTTGTTATGTGTTTTTACATGTGTGGCACTCTGGGCTGGTGAATCTTTGCTGTGTTTACATGTATGAACACATATAGCAAAGTATGATTGATATATTCATTCTCCAGGGTTTTAAAGGGATAGTTAAACTAAAGATGTCTGTCATTATTTACTCACCTTCATGTCGTTCCAAACCTGTATGATGCCCTTTCTTCCTCCGAACACAAAAAACAAAAAGTTGTTTAGCAAAATTTCCAATCTGTTTATTTCTATGTGTGGTTATGAAGATCAATAAAAGTAGTCTGTACAACTTGATGTGCATTTGAATATTTTCAATATTTTCACATTTGAGAATGAGAGTTGAGAGTTGTGTAGGATGGCAATCAGGGTTATTATTGTCAACTAAAACTATAAAAAAAATTCATTATCTGAGATAAACGTTAATTGAAATAAAATAAAATAAAAAAATATTTTAATATATTTTATCTTATCTTATTTTTTAATAAAATTAATAAAAACTATATAGACATTTTAAAAAAGTTTTAAAAAAATGACAATAAATAAATGTAGCTAAAATGAAAATGAAAACAGAAGAATATAATCTAATTTAAAATATTAGCAAAAACTATAATCAGTTTAAATTTTAGTGTCAGTTATACTAAAATAACACTGATGGAAATAACTGTACTGTTATTATACGTTTACTTTTATTTTTAATGAACTTTTATATTTAATTTGATTTTTTATTAACTTTAATGTTAGTATATTGCAAAAGTGATATGGACTTCTTTATTCAGCAATTATACATTTTTCAGTGTTTCTTTTTTTTTTTTTCAAATGGTTAAATTGTTTTTTTATTTATTTATTTATTTTGCCGCTTGAAAGCCCCTGGTTACTTATTGTATGAAAAAAGAAAAAAAAAAAGCAGTGAAAACATACTTTAAAAAAGAAGAAAGTAAGTCATATGGCTTTGGAGCGGTGTGTAAATTATGATTTGTTTTTTTGTTTTTTAAGAGGAAGTTTGCATTAATTCCAGTCTTTGGCTCAGCAGGCCAGTTGGTTTGTGTCCACGGCCTCTGTCGAACAAATCCCTGCAGGAATTTGAACAGAATTCAGACTGTTTGTGTGCGATGCACACGTTTGCTGAAGGCTGCAAATTGTTTGTCCGCTTGCTCTTTGTTTTGTACGTTGACCATTGCAGTGTTTTGTCTGTAGTGCAGCCAATCCATTAACATGCAGTCCAGTCTTTGGAAGAAATGTCTGGACCAGATACACAGGCTGACAGATGTGATGCCCAACAGTTCATCAATATCATCACTAGATCACTAGGGCTAGAAATAAATCCCGGAAAAGATCGATTCGCGGCTTTGGAGAATCGATATCGAATCAATGTCATTTAAAAAAAACGATTAATCGAAAAATCGAGAAATCGAAAAAGCCCTGTAGATCACCCTCTTCACTTAGCTTTTTGAAATATGACTGGAAACTCACTCCCTCCCCAATTCACTAGGTTTTGAAACAGAGCTATTGTTGTCTTGTTGCATTAAAGCTAACCTCAATTCAGTCAGAGAGGAATTAACCCATAGCAGAATGGCATCTGCATCGGCTGTTTGTAGTTTGGATGGTAATGGCACTTTATCATTTGGCAGAACATCTTAAGTGACCTTCAAGACCTTAAGCGTCTAAAACAGATGTCTTCATTCTTGAGTGAATGTTGACGGCTCAGCTGGAGGTGCTGTTTTTACGTGTTTGGCAGGACTGAACGAGTCAAATAGCATTTGTGTGGGGGGTTTTTTAGCAGTCAGGCATTGTGAAATAAAAAAAGCAGTGAAAAGCGTCCATTTGTGGCTTGACAGAACTCAAAAGAACTACGTAAAGACCCCATTTCCTCGTCACATGAGGGATATTCCATGTGCCCACACTTTTATATTTGTATCCTCTGAGATAATGGCTATCAGAAAAAGGGGAAAGGTTTTTTCCACCAAAGATTCAGAGCTAGATATTTATGACAAATTGTGCATTTTTTGAATTATATACTGTATTTCGATTAGAGCACAACAGGGACCCGCAACTTTTTTAGTGGCTTGGTTTCACAAGTATTTTTTCCATTCTGTTTTCTTAATAGGGATTTTTTTAAGGGTTCTAACCATTGCCGGTTTAAAAAATTAAAGATTTTTAATGTCTTTGAAAGAAGTCTCTTATGCTCACCAAGGTTGCATTTATTTGATACAGTATATACAAAAATACAGTAAAAAATATTAATATTGTGAAATATTATTACAATTTAAAAGAACTGGTGTCTTTTTGAATATATTTAAAAAATATAATTTATTTCTGTGATACAAAGCTGAATTTTCAGCATCATAACTCCAGTCTTCAGTGTCACATGATCCTTCAGAAATCATTCTAATATGCTGATTTACTGCTCGAGAAACATTTCTGATTATTATCAATGTTGAAAACAGTTGTGCTGCTTCATAGTTTTGTGGAAACCATGATACATTTTTATTCAAGATTCTTTGATTATTAGAAAGTTCAAAATAACAGCAATTATTTGAAATAAAACTTATTAATATTATTCTTAAAAAAAATAATTTATTAAAAAAAAAATCTTACTGACCTCAAATCTTTTGAACATCAGTATATTATATTATATTATATTATATTATATTATATTATATTATATTATATTATATTATATTATATTATATTATATTATTGTGAAATAAAAAAAGCAGTGAAAAGCGTCCATTTGTGGCTTGACAGAACTCAAAAGAACTACGTAAAGACCCCATTTCCTCGTCACATGAGGGATATTCCATGTGCCCACACTTTTATATTTGTATCCTCTGAGATAATGGCTATCAGAAAAAGGGGAAAGGTTTTTTCCACCAAAGATTCAGGGCTAAATATTTATGACAAATTGTGCATTTTTTGAATTATATACTGTATTTCGATTAGAGCACAACAGGGACCCGCAACTTTTTTAGTGGCTTGGTTTCACAAGTATTTTTTCCATTCTGTTTTCTTAATAGGGATTTTTTTAAGGGTTCTAACCATTGCCGGTTTAAAAAATTAAAGATTTTTAATGTCTTTGAAAGAAGTCTCTTATGCTCACCAAGGTTGCATTTATTTGATACAGTATATACAAAAATACAGTAAAAAATATTAATATTGTGAAATATTATTACAATTTAAAAGAACTGGTGTCTTTTTGAATATATTTAAAAAATATAATTTATTTCTGTGATACAAAGCTGAATTTTCAGCATCATAACTCCAGTCTTCAGTGTCACATGATCCTTCAGAAATCATTCTAATATGCTGATTTACTGCTCGAGAAACATTTCTGATTATTATCAATGTTGAAAACAGTTGTGCTGCTTCATAGTTTTGTGGAAACCATGATACATTTTTATTCAAGATTCTTTGATTATTAGAAAGTTCAAAATAACAGCAATTATTTGAAATAAAACTTATTAATATTATTCTTAAAAAAAATAATTTATTAAAAAAAAAATCTTACTGACCTCAAATCTTTTGAACATCAGTATATTATATTATATTATATTATATTATATTATATTGTTATGTTATGTTATGTTATGTTAATTGCACATAGACTTCTCTTCTGGAGTTACACATTCACAAAGTGTCACAAAAAATGTGGAGCAATTAAAACAGTTCAAAGGCTTGAGTTCTCCTTCAGCTTAAGACTCCATTGAGTGATCAAAGCGATGAACGACAGCCGTCCTTTCAGCTCATGGTTGGGTTACCAGCAGATAATACAGCATCGTTTGTGGCTTTCGGTTGACCAGAGCCTCACCAACAGCTCTTTGTTTTTCTCCTATGATTTCAAATGTAACTTCTTTGAGTCATAAGGAAATCTGCTGAAGCCTGATGAAAAGTTGGTGGCTTTTTGAATGGATATCTATTGCTTTTTATGTTGTTTTCTAGGAGCTGGTTATCATGGGTGCGCCTGGTTCTTATTACTGGACCGGAACAGTCAAAGTGTTTAACATGACATCCAATACTCACTACAACCTTAATCAAGACAACCTGAGTCCTCGCAGATACAGTTACCTCGGTAATACCTGCTCAGATATTAATAACTGCTTCAGTGTTCCATGCTGTAGTCAGTCCATCACAGATTTGTGTTTTAGGGTATGCTGTGACAGCTGGTCACTTCTCTTCCCCGAATACCATAGACGTGGCAGCTGGTGCTCCTCAAGACAGTGGTGTTGGAACAAACCAGTGTGTTCATAATTAAGATAATGCTAAAATAATATGGTAAGACACACCAGTTTGCAATATCAAGCAGCAAAACGAGCTGTTTTGTACAGCTAAAAATAGCTGGAAGCTAATGACACCATAAACCAGACCCATACAATTTACAAATGGCTGCGCCCGCTGTTACGGGAAAAATAAGGTGGATAAACACTTCCATTTCCAAACAAACAAAAAAAAAATTCTGACTATTATTTCATAAGTCAGCCTTTACAGGGTTAAAGTACTATATATGACTCATGCTCTATATACCAAGTTTTGTGTTAATAAAATGACAAAAAATTCAGTTGTTAGCTGAAAACCAGCTCTCAGATCTCTTTCATGTACGTTCAAATATGGGGCAGCATAGCTAAATTGTAGCTTGACTTTCTTCCAAAGGGAATTGAATGAGGTAATGCATCTTATGGAGGGGTGATGTGCCCTGTGCATGGCGTTGTAACCTGACCCGTTTGCTCTTGGCTCGGCTTGGTTTCAGATGGGCTCTTACTTTGGCTCCTCATTGTGTGCAGTTGACCTAAACGCGGACGGACTGTCGGACTTGCTGGTGGGAGCACCCATGCACAGCGAGATCCGGGATGAAGGCCAGGTTTCTGTTTACCTCAGCAGTGGCAATGTGAGTTAACTTACATGTGTGTTACTTTTTAAAGTTCACCCAAAAATTTGCTGAAAATACCATCAGGCCATCTAAGATGTTGATGAGTTTGTTTCTTCACAGATTTGGATAAAATGATTGATAGTCAGAATGAGAGTCTTAACAGCTGATAAAAACATCACAATAATCCACAAGACTGCAGTTCATCAGTTAACATCTAGTGAAGTGAAAATCTACCTGTTTGGAAGGAAAAAATCCATCATTAAGGCATTTCAACTTTAATCCCTCACTTCTGGCCAAAATACAGGTCCATAATCCATAATAACGCTTCCTCCAGTAAAAAAAAAAAAGTCCATCCCCTGTTGTCATCGCACATCAAAATCCACCCACATATTTGTTTAGAGCTGTTTTGGACTGTATTCACTTGTAAATGGTGCTTGATCTGATCATATTTCACTCCTGATTCAGAAGAGACAACTTTTTCACTGGAGAGAGCAATATTGTGGATAGAGGACTTGCATTTTAGCTGGAAGTTTTAATGATGGATTTGTTTCTTACAAACACGCTGCTTTTGACTTTACAGAAGATGTTAACTGATGGACTGGAGTGGTGTGGATTATTGTGATGTTTTTATCAGCTGTTTGGACTCTCATTCTGACGGCACCCATTCACTGCAGAGCATCCATTGCTGAGCAAGTGATGCAATGCTAAAATTCTCCAAATCTGTTCTGATGAAGGAATAGATTCATCTACATCTTGGATCAGCAAATTTAAATTTTGGGGTGAATTTTCCTTTAAAGATGCCAATTTTGTCATAAACAACACTTGAATGGCACTAAAGTTTGGTATTCGTATGCCTTATGCTATAAATGACCAAGTTGCATTATGCCATAAATGACCAAGACTTAAATGTGAAGGTAAGTGTCTTTGTGCAACTTGACAAATGTTTTGAGTATAAACAATGTTTTTTGTACTTGTTTGTTCAGGGAGTGATGGAGGAAGTTGCTATACTGAATGGTGATAATGCATACAATGCTCATTTTGGAGAGTGTATCACATCTCTTGGGGACATTGATGAAGATGGCTACCAAGGTCAGTGTACAAAAGCTTTACATCACAGGAATAAATTACATTTGACAATATATTCAAATAGAAAACAGTTATTTGAAATTAAAATAATATTTCACAATATTACAGTTTTTACTGTATTTATGATCAAATAAATGAAGCCTTGATTAAAAAACATTTAAAAAATCGACTACAAACTTTTGAACGGTAGTTGAACTGTTTTAAATATTCAGCTGTGCATTGTAAGTGGAATATTGTGTACACATCAAGTTGTGTTTATCTGGAATATTCCTTTAATTCAAATGATCACAGCAGCACATGTTGCAAAAATCATATTTCCGCTCTATTGGAGACAGACAGACATTGTTTGTCAAGTAACTGGAAAAGATATTTCGATGTGAAGCAGATTCAAACCTCAGATATCTCCTCTGCGACTAGTGTTCTCACTTTCGATTTTCCTGGCACCCCGCTGTCCAGTCGGAGGCTTTTCTTGGCATCTGGTTTCGCTCTTCACCTGATGCATTGCTTTATTATAGCGCTACTTTCTGCATGTCACATCTTTTTTTGTAATTTTAGTACAGCCTGTCCTGTGTTCTCATACAGTAGCTGTTACTGAAACTGTTTAGGGAGGCTGACCATCACATAATAAACAGACCAAACCCATCCATTAATGTGGAAATGAGATATTAGAGCTGATGAAGCTAATTAAAATGGCCTGAGGAATATCTGATAAGTGGAGACAGATGTGTCAGATTAAACAGGAAGTGAATCTTTCCGACGAGGGGGTTGGCAATGCTTAGAACAAGAAACCAATTCAAGCAATCAGAAATCCTTGTACAGAAATGGTGGTGCATATATGTAGTGAGAAGCATCTGTGATGAACTGTTCAGGGGTCAGTGTGGTAGTAAATGTTCCTTTAGGAGGCTGTAACCATAAAGAGATTACAAGAGGTCTCCATTTGACCCGCCTCTTATTGGGTCTTTTTTTTTAGGTCAGGAAGATTTTTTTTTTTTCTTCTTGAAATAAATTAATACTTTTTTTTAACAAGCGTCCATTAAATTGATCAAAAGTGACAGTAAATACATTTATAATGTTACAAAAGATTTCTAAAATATTAAGCCGTCCAACTGTTTTCAACACTGATAATAATCAGAAATGTTTCTTGACCCAATAAGCGACAGCTGAAAACTCATCTCTTTCGACGCTACTTGACTTCATCCTAAATTAAACTGTCTTTCTCTTGATTTATTCCTTCCCTTTCTAGCTTGTACTTATGTGAACATGCCTGAAACTTGGTATTACAAGCACTTCCTGTGTCTGTTTGCCTCTTTAAGAAGAATCGCTTTATGTATTCCCCAATTGTAAGTCGCTTTGGATAAAAGCGTCTGCAAAATGACTAAATGTAAATGTTGAGCAGCATATTAAAATGATTTCTGAAGGATCATGTGACACTGAAGACTGGAGTAATGATGCCTAAAATTCAGCTTTACATCACAGGAATAAATAGCATTTTTCAGTATATTCAAATAGAAAACAGTTATTTTAAATTGTAATAATATTTTGCAATTTTACTGTTTTTATTTTATTTTTTGATCAAATAAATGCAGCCTTGATGAGCAGAAGAGACTTCTTTCAAAAACATTTAAAAATTCTCACCGACCCCAAACCCTGAACACTAATGGATGTAAAGTATAAATGCATAAATGTAAAGGTTTTGCTTGTAAATAAGCCAGTAAACTGTCTCAGTATTACATGATTCAGATTTATAGCTTTTGTGCTGTTACAGAAATATAAAAGTTTCCAGAACTCAGCACATTCAAAATATGTGTACTGCTGTTTTCCTGCACAAGGGATTTTTTTCTGACTCGATTTCAACCCCCCTGAAGTTCCACAGACCTTTACAGGCTTTCAAAAACACGTAAGTGTCCATTAAGTGACTTAGCAGAGCGTCTCTCAAACAGAGATGGGCTTAAAGCAAACAGGCATTTATTGGGGTCCTGACACACACAAGTCCACCTCCAGCATTTCTATTCCAGTCGTAGGTCTCTGGCAGTCTGACCTCATTCGGCTGCACAGTATGCTATTTTGTTCTAACTTTTACGATTGTTGTTTTTCAGACTGTATGTGCCCAATAAGATCTTGAGTAAAAGCCAAGGCAGACTGTGTGACGACTCTATATTATGTCAGACTGTACAATAACATCAGCTAAAACTGGTAGCCCTTTCAAAGAGGATGACTATGGAGGAGCTGTCTACATCTACCATGGTGATGCTACAGGAATAGTTAAGAAGTATTCAATGGTAACTTAATTTATTGTAATTTATTTTTCATTATTTAATTTTATTATATTTTATCATTTAATATTTTATTCTATTATTTATTTAGTTTTAGAATTATTTTATTATTTATTTTATTTTAGAATTATTTGATTTTATCTTATTTTATTAATTTAATGTATTTTTTCAATTTAAATGTTTAAATTTAAAAATGTAAATAAATGTAAATATTTAAATTAAAATAATAATTTAAAATATTTAAATTAAATTTAAAATGTAAATATTTTTACATTTTATTTAATTTTATTTTTTAATTAATATTGTTTTTATTTTATTTTATTATTATTATTTATTTTGTTTTAGAATTGTATTATATTTTATTTTACTTGCTACACATTCAACAACACTTGTTTTAGAGACATAAATACAAATACCACCATGTGAATTTTATTTTATTTATTATGTATTTATTTTTACGTTGTCAGCTCTCAACAGTACTGTATACTGTAGACCATTTGTTTAGATTTGTCATTTATTTATGGTGCTATTGAGCTTGACTGGTGTCTGTATTAAAATAAATCTGAAAGATTGGTTTAGTTGGCAGTGCATCACTTGTTTTATTGAGAAACCTTTTAGCTCATGCAGTTTAACAGTTTGATTGATGGATAACTAGAAGGTCCAGATGAAATCCACTGGCTTTTGTGCATTTTCTGTGCTGATTTAGTAGGAAAAATGCCTTAAATGGAGCTGAGAGTGCTACACTGATACTACTAGCTGAAAGCATAATCAAATTAGCTGAAATATTTAATAAATGAACGTGTGTGATGGGGAATGTGTAGAACTACGTGGCATTCAGAAATCTATGGATGTTTTATTAATGATTTGGTCTGTGTGGATGTTAATACTGGCGTTTCTGATTAATTGATGTGATTTTTCTCTCTCACCTGGATCATATGCAGAGATTGTCTGGGCGAAGCATCAACCCCACCCTCCAAATGTTCGGCCAGTCAATTTCCGGCAATGTGGACATGGATGGAAACGGATATCCAGGTTTGGCTTTGCTTTAGACACTTGGCTAGTTCTGCTCGAATGAACACTGAGAATGTTCCGAATGAACTAGATCAAAACCGACCACATTCAGTGAGAAACCGCGACGGGTGCCAGACCACTTACATTGGCCTTCTGCGATCTCCGCGTAAAGATGGGAAGCATGTAATGTTTTTACTGACCTCCAGTGAGTTTATTCCATTCTGGAAACCTCTAAGCATTAAAATTTAATGTGTAACTTATGACACGAGTGATTCGTCACAACATGTGATCCAAAGTGACTGGACTTGTGATGTGAAAGCTGCTGTGAAAACGCCCAAAAGATGCTTCTCATCTTTTTTTTACATCCACAGAAGGTTCTCGTGTAAAACGGGATTAATTATATAATGGAGAACGTTCCATTCTGCGCTAATCCTGGGAATGTAGATTGAGTGTTTGTTTAATTTTCTTAACCGTTCTTTGACACATTCTGTCTGCTCTGATTTCATAGTTCTGAGGCCAGCAAGCATTTTGTTTACAGCATTCCACAGTGGACACGGTGATTAAATAAAATGAGAGAAAATCAAACAAAGAAAGCTTCAACTTTTACTAAAAAATAATTGCTTGATCTGTGTCATATATATATCAGTTTGCATGTACAATACTTTAAGATAAAATGCGTTATTCCATTAGAGTTTACTAATTAGTGGTCATAATGATTTGTACACAACCCTATGTAATGTTCTGGTGACCAAGCATAACCCTGCACTTACAGAAAAAAATATTTAAAAAATATTAATGATTAATTACATACTATTATAGTGTTTATTCATATTTTGACTGTATTCATTGTTCTGAATATTTTCAGTTTTTATTTTAGTTTTAGTTTTAATCAATTTGTTTTGCTCTTTTGGCATTTTTATTAATTAAAATATTTAATTTTATTTTTAATGTATTTTTTTACATTTAAATTAATATTGTATAATATTATTTACAATTACAATTACAACACTGGATTGTACCTTTAGAGGTACAACAGTTTGTCATTGGGTCATCCCAGAAAGTTTACTCTGAAGGAATCTAAAAGGGTTAAAGCTACACTTTTTGCACACCTTTTCTAACAGCATAGCATTACAGGGTTTATATAACAGTTTAAAAGCATGTAATTATTCTTCTAAACTTCTAAACTTTATTTCTAAAACTTTATCGTTTTTTTTCCCATATCAGATGTGACGATAGGGGCGTTCATGGCTGACAGTGTGGTTTTGTTAAGGTAAGTTGTGCACTTCTGAGCCAGCAAAAGCTTGTATTTACATCAATTCCTCATTAGTGTTCTCTGATGATCATCCATTCAGATGTAGCTTTGACCTTATTTGCTGTTGCTTGTGACAGATCCAGGCCGGTGATCTCTGTGGACGTCTCCATCTTCTTGCCCGTCTCAATAAACATCACAGTACCGCAGTGTCACGAGGGCCCTCCGCATCTCAACTGCTTCAACGTCACCGTCTGCATGAGCTTTCGAGGAAAATATGTACCTGGCCACATAGGTGAGCCACTGTGGAATTATTATTATTGATTTTGGGCTTTTTTATTTTATTTTATTTTATTTGAATTTTTAATTTATTTTATTTTTATTGTCTTTTTTATTTTATTTTATTATTATTTATTTTTATTATTTAATATTTTATTTTATTGTTTGATATTTTATTTTAAATTAGTTTTAAATTTCATTTTATTTTTATAAAATGTAAAAAAAATGTAATAGCATTTTTTGTTTATTTGTTGTTCATTGTTACACATTCAACAACACTATATGTATAATCGACAGGTGTCTGCATACACTCTAAACCCATAACTAGATAGTCTTGATAACTCTTGTTTTTAACTGAACCGCTGTCTTTTCGCTCTCATGACCCGTGGTGCAAACAGCCCTGAACTGGAGGTCAGTGCATGTTGTGCTGACTTTTATTTCACTCTATCAACACGCAGACGTGCCTAGAATAGACTATTATGAAATATCATCAAATGTTAGATACAAAAACAGCAATGCACTATGGATCACTTTTGGCCCTCCCATAATGTTGAGCGATCTCACCAAATGCACTTTTAAAACTGCTCAGAAAAGACTTGTTTTTCATTAAATCTAGTTTTGTTTCTGATATGTTGCCTCTAGCTCTATTTTTGTCACTCAACTCAATGAGCTTGACTGCATGTGTTTGTTTAACTTGACAAGATGGACACCGTGCAGCCACAGGGATTCGATGCAAATGACCGCTTGCTCAACTTTTGGGCGTGGCCACTGCTCGCTGAGTGGGTGTGGCCTTATGGGAGATGGAGTAAATAAAGGGGGTGTTACATAATGGGAGGTTTCTGGGAAGTACAGAGCGCTAGTGTTACTCCACTTGGCACCCGTGTTGGAAAGTACTGCAGCACCTTGTGTCTGGGTGACGCCCTGGTTCTGTAGGCTGTAGTGCGCTCATGGTGCGCTCACAGCTGGATGTATTAAGACAACAACCCCTGCATTGGTCCAGGAGCCCGTTCATTAGAGTGACGCCCTGTGAGAGCAGCAGGGTAATAATAGCTCTTACTCAGCGTCAGGATCGGAGCAATGGTCCCGCAATTACACATTTGACCTCATCTGGGTGAATTTCACAAAAACTGTCAAGAAATTCATCATGTTGTGGAAAGAAAGCAGCTCTTAATGGGGCCGCGTCCAAGAGTTCTGTGTTTTTGATCAATTTCTGTTTTTTGGAAAAGCCTGTAGGTGTAGATGGATGCATCTCACCGAAGAGTTGTCTGGATCGTATTTCATCCCAAAACCAAAAGAACAAAAAGTAATTATATTTTGCATAAAGAACTTGAAACATGTTTACAAGATTCAAGATTTTTATGTGTCACATACACAGTTATATACAGATTTTTTGGACATTAAACAATTAAAAGCCCAAAGTTAATTTTTTGACATTTTCATGACAATTCAACACATTTTCTTTCAGTTCTTATGTCTGTAATGCAAATCTCATTATTATAATATGAAAAAATATATTATTTGAATTGTAAAGTACAATTGTAAGTACACATCATAATGGTATTTGTTGCAATAAATTAAATGTGTTAATTTAAAACTAAATCAATGTAAACAGTAATGAGAATGAAATTTTAACTGCATTACAGTAATGAGAATTTACTTATTTATTTGTATTTTATTAATATACTTCAATTTATTTTTTTCTATTCTTTTAATTTTTTAACTAGTAATTCATTCATATTTTATTTTCCATTCATTCATTCATTCAATCAATCAATTTTCATTTTAAATTATAAATTTTATTTTATTCATTCATTCATTCAATTTTATTTTTTATTTTAATTATTTATTCATTCATTCATTCATTCATGAGCCACACATTCATCAGTGCATTTTGTGTTTTGTTTTATTTTATTATTATTTTTTTATTTTATTCATTTTATATTTTATCTGATTATTATTATTTTTTTTATTTTTTTTACATTTTGGGATGAAATATGACCCACACATTTCTTAATGAGATTTATCAGGACATTTTGAACCATGTTTTTCCTACATGCCATTGCCGTTTTCTCTCACTTCCAGAAATTAATCACAAACATTTAACTCTTGGACGTGGCCCCAGAAATGTTCTTGTACTGTTTTCTCTCATTTCCACGACTTTGACAGTGGGAACTTGACATCTTACTTGACTTTGTTTTTAAATCCCTAAAATCGCCCTGGAATGCTTCTGATAGTGAGTTTTGAAACAGACCGTGTTTGAGAGATGTTTACACATTGTTGTCTTACTGAACTGTGGGTGTCTATTTTTCTCCTCAGAGTTACTGTACAATCTAACCGCAGATTCAGATAAGAGACACAAAGGTCTGCCGCCGCGGGTGTATTTTGGAAACGGTGGAGAGCAGACAGTTGCTGTAAGTCAGCGTTTCAGCCTGGAGATCAACCGACAGCAGTGCCATCAGTACACGTCCTTTGTGAGGGTGAGTTTTCCTCTGATATGCCAGAACTTCATGCTCCGAAGGTTCAGGCTTCTGGGATTTGTCCTTTAAACTCAACATGAAATCAAACTTTATTCTGTTTACTTCCGTAATACATGTTCCTAGTCTTATTGTGCATCATTCACTCATGCATGTTATCCCAAAGAATAAATCTTTCATAAAACACCGCCCTGCGTCTTATTTGCTGAATGAAATGCAATACTTGTTTCTTACTAATTTTGCGATGCTAATTACAAAAATAGTGCTCGTTTTGCTCTAGCACATCATAATTTCTCACAAAATATGATGCATTTTGTTGCATTTTTGCATTTGACAGCCATTTTTAAGGTGAATAAGTCTTGTATTATCTCTTAATCACAGAAAAACTGACACTGAGACATGATTCCTGTCTTCCTCTGAGCCAGTTTGTTCAATTCTCAGTGTGAATGATTCTGAAGACATTATTTTATGCATAATCCCAGTTTCCACTTTTTTCACTCCTTTGCAGATTGCAATTTAAATGACACATTTTGAATATTGAAACTTTTGACACATGACTGCTTTTGTTATTTTGATAAGTGCATTATAGCTGATACATATATAATTTGAAAAATTATAATTTATAAATATATAATTTGTAAAATATAAGTTATGGGATATTTATAATTCAGCATCATTGAATTAGATAATATTAAGGTTTTTTTCTGCAAATGATCTGATTTTTTTTTTTCAATAGTTTAGTCTTAAAAAATAACAGGTTGATGTTAATGTAGTATTTTTGTTGTTTTATTTATTCATTCATTAATTTTTCAGATTAACGTGGAAAAATTAGGCGTGTAAAAAAAAGAAAACATTTTAACGCAGATTAATGTCAATGCAGTAATTCATTTTTATTTTAGTTTATTTTATTATTCATTAATTTTTCAGATTAATGCTAATGTAGTAAAATTGGGAATGTAACACCCACTTATAAAAATACTTTCAATTCCTGATATAATAAAATACTTTGTTTCTCATTGATTATACCATTTCATAGGGAATTATGTCATATTACGAAAGTAAATGGTTTGTGAATGCCATTTTATGTTGACTTAAATGTGGCCGTTGTCATAGAGGTCTCAGTCTAGATGTATCAGCACCACAGAATTCATGCTGGTCCATGTGATGTTGTTTACACTTGTCCTCGACTGACCCGCTGTCTTTTCTCTCCCATGACCTGTGCTGCAAACAGCCCTGCACTGGAGGTCAAGCAAACTTTATTGCTGAACTTTATTTTACGACATCAACATGCACCAAATAAGTCCATGTGAATTTTTCTGTAATAGCTTTGAAACAGTAGTCTTTATTTGTTGCTGGTTGGAGAATGACTCTTGTGCTGTATACTGAAGCCATACGAGAGATTTGAGCGACCAAACTGTGTTGCTATTTACTGCAGTCTTGCCCTCAAAGGACGTCAGACATATCCATATGTTTGTTTCCGAGGTTAAAGCTCTGATTAAGTCATGTGGGAGCTCAAAAGAGAATTTCGCTAAGTGACCTATAATAAAGTCTTGCTATCAAAATGAAACACCCACCATCAGGTGACAAACAACTACCTTTGAAATGCGGGGCTCTTAATGAGAGACCTTGTTTCGCGACTCTGTCGAGAGACAGTCGTCATTGTGGCCGCACAGTTGGGCTCTTGTTGTCTGTCTTCTGGTAATAGGCTGCTATCCCAGCGTTCGGTCACAGCGTCAGTATCCTCAGGGCGACGTGGAGCTTGAGCTCTTACAAGGAGGCCCACACAGAGCCTGTTAATTTCACTGACGCTGCTTTATGAGCCTCTGCAGGCCACTTCTCCATAGGGGAGCTTCTTACAGGAAGGGTTCGCCCCATACCACGCTCCTGTTTTTGCTTTATATGGAACAGCGCATGATACAAATATGCATTAACCAGCAACATGCAACCAGTGACAATAGAGTGCCGGTTTGCTGACCAAGTCTTCTTGCTTTACTCAAGTACATTCACACATGGTTTCCTTTTGCAGCTTTAAGACTGATGAGGGTCATTCTACAAAACTGTGTGCCTTTTGTGTTCCTTCATTAACATATGCGTAAAAATTACTTTAAAACTGAATGGCTAGCACTTTTACTATGCGTATATTGAGGTAAAACTATTTACATATATACAGTGTATATATACTGTATTTAATTAAAATATATATATATATATATATATATATATATATGTATGTATGTACGGCTTGTT